ACACACACACACACACACACACACACACACACACACACACACACACACACCCTCTTATAGATTTGGAAACATAGAAGAAAATTTAAGGGGTGAGTGACAAATGGGGCTTAGGATATTTGTAGTATTTATTTATTTTTTAATGTATTTGGTGCAGGGTCTGCAGGATCCATAGGGTCTCACTACGTAGATTGGACTCATAGTGATCCTCCTGTTTTCAGCCTCCCGAGTGCTGAGATTACAGACGCTTGGCACCACACCTAGTCTCAATCGGTTCCTCGGTGCACCCTGGGGGTGGGGCCAGGACGGCATGCCGGGCTGCTCTCTGCCTAAGCAGGTGCTTTAGCCTTCTGCACTCTCTGGCTAGCCTTATGTAGTATTTAATATGTAAAGCATTTATATACATTAGTGTGGTTTAAATAATCCCCATAATATGTACAGTTATAACATTTTAATCAAAAGTTTTTATAAAAAATTTTAGGGAACTATCACTTGCTCTGCCTTGATTATTATTCTGCACATACAACTATGAAATTATCATGCCGTATCCGTTACATTTGTAAGTTTAAAATTGAATTTTAAATATATTTTACAATCTTGGAAAGAATTCAGCTTTGTCCAATAACTTAGAAGGTGCAACTTAAAATGATGAGATTCAAAAAAAGAGATGAGATTCCTGTGTTTTTTTAATAAAGATGATGTGAGGAGAGGACAGGACACCTACACCCAGAAAAATGCAGCTTTGAGGGCCTGGGAGGTCCGAAGTGTTGAGGGAAAAGGGTCATTACGGCTTCCTTCTGGAATGAACCCCTAAGTGATTTGTTCTGGAACTCTCTGGAAATCCACGCTGAGGAAAGTACCCAGAGAGTCTTAATCCAGAATGTGCTTAGTAAGGCTTTCCTTGTCAAAGAAAAACATGGCACGTAGCAAATATCAACCGTAGTAAGCGAGTAAAGTCGATTATATTCCATAGATGAAATTAAAACCAGGTTGACAGCTGGCACTGTAGAATGACGTTTGTAGATACTGGGAGCAATTCGGACTCTTTCTAAGTAAAAACAGTGACTGTATAATTATGGTCAAATTTTTGCTTAAAAAATAGAAAATCTACCTGCTAGAAACAAAGTAGCAGAATATATCAAGATACAAGCAGCAGGTCTGTCCAGCTAATTTGCCTGTGAGTGAAAACTTGATGAAATTTTTATGATGACGATGGCATCTCTTTCAGAAAGCAGTAAAATAGGGTGGAAGGTCCCAAACACAAGTGACATGGATGTCCGCTTAGTGGTGTCATTGGCCCTTAGTTCATAAAACATTCTTTAACCTGCGTCAGATCTCACCTGTGCCCTGGCTCGGGGTGGGCTTCGCAGGGGTGTGCAGGAAGCGTGTGGCGCTCCCCTTGGTGTGAGCCCCACCTGTCCCCCCTTTTCTTGCAGCCTGTTGGAACTGGAAAGTACATATTTGACGTTGGATGTGAACAGCACGGCGAGTACCGTCTGACGGATGTGGTAAGTTGAAGAGAGGAAGCTGTTTGCTGTATTCACAGACATGGGTGTCAGGCCTCAGCGTTTGGGCCCTGCACGAGTCTGGTGATCTGCGGGCAGCTTGCGCTGACTCAGGACCTTGCCCGCTTTTATTACCCTCTCATATTTTTGTGTGCCCATGTGAAATTATACCATCAAAAGTAACAGATATTGTATCCCAGTCATTGCTGAAGTCTACACCTGTTTTCTGTCCATAGAATGGCCAGTCCTGAGTTAGAGAGTTCCAGACTGTTTCAGGTCAGAAAGGACAACAGAAATTTGTGACTATGGGCCAGCCAAATAGCTCAGTGGATTATAGCACCTGCAAGCAGGCTCAGGGGCTGGGAGTTTGATCCCTAAGCCTGCAGTGCCGGCCCCACTCCTGGGGCACACTGAGATGGCAATTGAGACTGGGCGTTGTGGTGTGTGCCTGTAATCCCAGCTCTTGGGAGGCTGTAAACAGGCGGATCACTATGAGTCCAATCTAGTAGGGAGACGTTGAACACCCTGTAGACCCTTCCTTAAAATACAGGAAAAAAAAAATCTGTGATTGGTGTCACTGTGACTTGCAAGATGCCTGTGTGTCAGGTATGACTTGCCCCTCCTGGAGCCTGGTTGACATACCATTTTCTTTTTCCCCTCTTTCTATTATTTAGCATTAATACTGAATTTATAGCAAAAACGAGCCAGCTAATGTTACCATTAGCAGGCACCCAGACAAAGGTCGGCTGTGTGTTAGGGAGGGAGCCCTATGTTTGGATTCCTGGCTTTCATTATCTTCTCCTGGAGGTAATTAGCAGCTTAGTAAAATGTCTTGATAGTATACTGATTTCGAACCTTTGACCTATTTATTAACCGCTATCATTCTCCATGTAAGAAGTTTGCAATTTTAAGAATGAAGAAAAAGTGTAAATTATGCTTTTATGTTTTTATGCTCTGAAGCCCCTTAGAAATCCCTTCCTATGAGCTGAGACAGATAGTATTATAAGGAAACTCTACTGTATCTGTGTCATTTCTTTTCTGAAGTGGAAGGTGGTATAGACATGTAGCTATCGTAAGATTTAATTTATGAACTGTGGATAGTATTGATCCCTAGATGTTTTTTCCTGTGTGTACATAACTATCATAAAGTTTAATTTTAAAAATAAGCACAGTAAGGGATTAGTGTCAATAAAAGAACAGTTATACTACTCTGTAATAGAAGTTACATGAATTTGATCTCTCTCAAACTTATTCTGTCCATTTTATATTATATTGCAGATTTTAATAACTTCAGTGTATGGTTCTCCTTTACTTTATTAAGTCAAGAAGTTTCACTCAAAGGAAATGTTTTATGGCTTCTCTCTGGGGAAGGGATTGCTAGCACTGTTCCTCTTGAGGGCTGGGCCATGATTGAGTGGAGCGAGTGTCACTTGGACACAGCCCTGTGATCCGGTCACTGAAGCTGCTCAGTGACAAAGGGACGGGGAGGGGCTCAGCATGGGCACGCTTGAAACAGGATCTCGCCATATCGTTCAGTGTGGCACTCAAGCTAAAACTTAGGAACTGCTTATTTCTGGAGTTTCCCTATTTTAGAAAATGTGGTGAGGGTAGGGTGGCCACCAGGCTCCTCCCACCTTGGCTGACGCTGCTCCAGTGTCTTCTCCTTGCATACCCTCTGCTCAGCACCCTTGAGCCCCAAGGGACTGCTCTGAACCCGCTCTTCCTGAGGCCATGGGGCCCGGTGAGGTCTGGCACCACTTGGTGGCTGCTGTCAGCTGTCACCTGTGTAGAGTGCTCCCCCAGCTTGTCCTGCTGGCCCTGTTCGAAACTTAGCTAACAGCAGCCCAGTTTTCCTACTTAGGGTGCCCTGGTTTTCAAACCTGGCTATCTCCTTTCTTCCTAGACTCCCTTGGATTTTAACATCGAAGGGATCTATGGGTCTGTACTCCCTAACTTCCCACAGCCATGAACGCTCAGACCCTCCTGGCCGCTGCTCCCCAAGTGTCCTGGGCCTGGGTGTTTCCCATATCCTGCTGCTTTTGGCCCTGATTCCCTCCCCTGTGATGCCCACTTCCTGCACCTTATGGTCACTCTGTCTCTAGAAATCCTGCACTTGCTTGTGGTTCACAGAGGAGACGGCCCCCTTTTCCTTGTGGCCAGCATCTTTTGTGGCCTCATGCTGGTCTATCCTCATAGCCTCACTTCTTCCTGTTTCCTTTGTGGTGCCCTTGCAGCTAAAAGTAGCCACTGGCCAGGGTTTTGCTAGCTAACCAGGAAATGGCCATGAGTGGGTGTGGTGGTACGTCCTTATAACCCCTGCACTCAGGAGACAGAAGTGGGAGGATTTCCACAAATTTGAGACTAGCAACAAGTTCAAGCCCAGCCTGACCTATATATAGAGAACCTGTCTCAAAAAAACAAGAAAAGACCCATCTCCAAAGAAGGACATATTAGAAGGTAGTGGGAGCTAGGACCCCAAAACTCTAAAGTATCCTTAGAGTGGATGGCAGATGATACAATTTGGCCAACAATGATGAAACAGACTCGAAGTCCCTGAGCTGGATGCACAAAGCTTTGAGGTCACCTGTGGGGAAAGAATGGGGGAAGCAGGACCTGCAGAAGCAGCAGCTGCCAGTGATTTGACCTTGGGGCCTTGTGTTCTCGTGAAGGATCGAGGGCCATGAAGTGGATGTGACTGCTGGCAGCTGGGAGGGGCCCTGGGCTTCCAGACTCTCGGCAAGTACAGATTCTAGGGACCCAGTTTGGAGTCCTAGCTGCCAGGCGTGCATCCCGCAGCTGGAGCACTGGAGCACCGCACCACCTTCCCTGTGGACAGGGCTTGTATCCTTGGGGCCAAGTAGGGTCAGTGAGCTCTGAGTGCCAGAGGTCATGGCACCATGGATCCTGTCACATGCAACAGCTTGCCCCCCATCTCTGGTGGCAACCCAAAGCTCAGAGCCGAGGAAGTTTGTCTTAGGTACAAAGCTGAGACAGAGCCCAACGTGTGGGTGAAGTGGGCTGGTGCTGGCTGCTGCCCATCACGGGGAGGGGCGCACATTCCTGTGCCATGCTGAGAAACGATGAACCCCTGTTCTGCTCTTCTGAAAGGAGACCTCCCATGTTCATGCATGTCTGGGTCATTCTGTGGACATCTTCACTTTGGGCTTTTCTAGGTGTGGAGGTGATTTTATTGCCCACATACACAACCTCAGAGCTGGAAAATGTGGCCGGCAGCTGAGATGCACAGGATGTGGGTCAGTCCTTAAAGCCTGTGGCAGCGCCTATTAGGTCTAGCACTGCCTGCTCTGTGCACCGCTCCCAGCTGGGTCTTTCGAGCTCCATTTCCAGCCTTAGTGGCTGCCTGGATGCCAGGCATTGTGCTGTTCGCAGAGCAGTGCTGTCCAAGGCTCCTGCACTACCCAGGCTGGCCTCTTTCCTTTGCTTCCAATTTCCAGACCCAGGGTATGCCATTGTTGATAAATTTATGTTTCTTACACTTAAAATAGGAAAGAGGAGAAGAGGAGGAAGAGGAGGAAGCCTTGGTAAATGTCATCCCGAAATGGAAAGCTATCCAGATCACAGATCTGGCTCTGTGGACCCCGAAACTCCCGGAGCAGCGGCCTCCCTCAGAGGGACCTGGCCCAGAAGACACGCTTGGAACGGAGGGTATGCTGCACTCCGGCTGTCACAGCCCCGAGTGTCCATGTCCTGCTCTTGCTGGTGCACTCCAGGGAAGGGTCTCTGGGCAGCACTGCTGTAAGAGGTCAGCCACCCCTGGCTTTCAGAAAGTCAAAGGAGTGGCCGGCAGAGGACAGCCCAGCCTGAGGCGGGCCTTGGTGACCTTGGAGAGTTCAAGCTTCCTGGGTCTGTGCCTGGTGTGGGGACATGGGTTGGGGCCCCTCCATCTTCCACAGAGCCCTCCCCAGAGGCTGGTAACATGCCCCAGAAAGTTGAAGCAGTTGCCTGGGTGACACTCCTTCCACTGAAAGTGGCCAAAAGCCAAAGCAAGTTGGCCTGTGTGGAGTGACATTCATTTGCCTGCCACTCATGTGATTTCTAGAACCAGTGAGCATGGGACCTGCCATGCAGACCTGGCCACCCTCACTGTCCTCTGCACAGCCTCCCCACCTGTCGCCAGTAGTCACTGGCTGGTCACTGTAACTGAGCAGGGATACAGGGGCTGGGCTTAGGCTGGAGGTCCCTGTTCTTAGGAGGAGGGCAGTGGTGCAAGGCAGGCTGGGGCACACAGCTGTGTCATTGTCCTCTCTCATTTTCTCCCAGGTGCCACAGAGATAGAAGAGGAATCCCAGGCTCTGTCTGAAGGAGGCTTTGAGGGTGAGCTGGACCTGCGGCCAGGAGAGGAAGACGCGGATGCCTGGGAGTACAATTATGAAGTAGATCAGGGTAAGGACTATGGCCTTGTGGCTCTGAGAGTGGGCTTGGGCCCCACATGCAGGGAAGAGTAGGTTCCTGTCCTTCCTCCCATGCTGCCTGGCCCAGTCCAGGACCTGAGTAGCTGCAGAAGCCTGAGGGAGCCGTGTCCCTGGCATGAACCAAATATCCAGTGTGGCCTCCTGTGGGCCTGGCTTTGGCCCAGCTGCCGCTGTGCAGTGACGCTGTGACTCGGGGCCGCGAGCATGGGGGGGGGGGCATCTGGAATGGTGATGCAAGGTGACCTCCTATTGTTCACTTGTTTCTCCTCAGCAAACTCAGGCGCCGAGGAAGAGGAAGGGAGACAGGGAGAGCTGCAGGACTAGGTTAGCCGGAGAGCATGGATCGCACCCGAGCTGGCCCAGCACCTTCAGATCCTTCTCCTTTCTTTGTTAGGTCAGTTTATGATTGCAAATAAACCCCTCCAGAGTCCCTCGTTTCCAAAATATCTGCTGCTATGTGTCCTGTTTTATTTAAACATATTTTCTATCTCTAGAGATGTATATTAGAGCACTTTAGTGACACGGAAGGACTACCTCGCTGTGGGGAGGGTACTTCTGCATCACGCAGCTTCCTTCTCCTCCCTCCCCGCCCCCATCTCTTGGTCCTCTTCCCCCTTGCCAAGCTCTGTCTTCTTTCCTGTTATCTTTTATTCTGCTCTATATTTGTACCTTGAGTTTGTGATATCTAACCTTCTGTGCCTGATTTGTTGCACATCACGGCCTCCAGGTGCACCCGTTTCCCTCCAGTTGGCTCCAGTGTATCCTTCCTCATGGCAGAGCAGCGCTCCGTGGTGTAGGACTCCTTCAGTACTTCTCCGTGTATTTTTTTGGCCAGTGAATGCTTCTTATGGTGATAATATTGCGATGTTTATTATAGGGACATGAGGTAGTTGTCATGTTTCGTCAGTGTGGTTTTTGTTAGTTATTGATAGTGGAGGGGCGTGGGATGTCACATGCAGACAGCTCTGCCCACTGCTGGATGACTGTCCACTAAAACAGGCGTCCAGCTGCACCTCCCTGCACACAGTCCCCATCAGAAGTCGCATTTGGTGACAACCTCCCTGCACCAGTGGTGGTGGAGAGGAGTCTCAGGCTGGCTCCTTGCTCTGGGAGGTTTCCTGTATGTCATACTTCGTCCAAAGTTTTCGTGCTTTGGGCCATGACAGGGCAGGTGGGGTGGATGATTCGGGGGACAGGCAGCCCACATGTGGGCCCCTGGGCCTGGTGGTGGGCAGTGGCTGTTGCTGGTCGCTGCACATTGGTCTGGAGCCAGGCAGGCCCAGCTCAGCTTCTCAATCTTCCCTGAGCTTCATCCCGTCAGAATTTGTCTAGGTGCTGGGTTCCTGTAGGCACTCAGGTGAGTGCTTTCCTCTGTGGGTGGAACCATGCTTTGGGGGATGGTGGGTAAGTTGTTTCTCTACCACATCTCCCCTCTCTTGGGCTGAATGCAGGCCACATTGGACGGTGGCATTGGTGACTGTAGAGGGTGAGATTGTGATTATTCCTTTGGTGTTTGTTCAAATTTGTCTTAAAGTTGAATTTGCCAAAGAGGTCAACTTTGTCCACCCCTGGTATCCTTTGCATATCTCAAAGACTCTTCTCAACCATTAAATTAATACCTTAAATTTGTTTGCTGTATTAATTTCAACAGGCAGTCTTTTCTTTTTCTTCTTTTCATTGGGGGTGTGATGGGTCTTACTGTGCAGTTCAGGTCAACCTTGAACTAACTGTTTAGGATGGGCTGGCCTCAGACTTGTGGAGATCCTTCTGCCTCAGCCTTCCAAGTGCTGGGATTACAGACCTGCACCTGAAAGAAGGTATTTTTTGGTTTTGCTTTTTTTTTTTTTTTTTTTTTTAAAGAAAGTGAGACAATATAGCTTGTTTTAAAATCAGAATTTGTTCAACACTAACAGTTTTTGTTAGAACAAAAAGAACCATACTAAATTGAGACATTTCAAATGACCAACTTAGTATTGGCTAAATAGATAGCTAAAATATTTTATTTAGTCAATGTATTTTTTTTTTGTTGATTCAGCCCACCCTGAGGACAGGGCTAGTGTGGCTGGTGATGCTGGGGATTGAACCGTGGTCCCCTGTGCCTGCCTAAGCTTGCCTAAGCAGACACTTTAGAACACTGAGCTATCTTGCTGCCCTATGTAGTCAATTTTTATTCTTCACCTATTACATATATTTTTATCTAAACACTGAGTAAGAAAGGAGGGAAAAAACTACTGGACAATTTTCCCCATTTTCTTCTCCCACACAGGGACTGTTATAATTTTCAGGGGCATAATCCCTTGGATGATTTCATTGACTTTGAGCTGGGAATTTCTACTTAATGAGTTAATTTTTCATTCTCATAACATCCAACCCAAGCACAGAGGGGTGTGTATGTGTGTGTGTGTGTGTGTGTGTGTGTGTGTGTGTGTGTGTAGATAGTGTATATGCATACACATACTCTCCTAACATCGTGTAACATCTGCACAGTACATACATCTTACTGACAAAGAAAATGAAGACTTGAAAAGTGAAGCATTCCTGTCTTCAGAAAGCATGCTTACAACCATCAGACTGTGTCTGAGATCAGCTGTCACGTGGATTCTGTCCACGCTATGCTCTAGGATGTCTGAACTACGGAAGTCCATAGTACTTGTGTTGGCCTAGTTTTGTAAAAACATTTAAAAAAATACCGGAGTGGCAGAGAAAAGAATAAAACACTACTAACATATCAAAGGAGAGCCACGGAACACACTGTGGGCAGTGTCCCCAGGAGGGGCTGTCCCCAGGAGGGGCTTTCCCGAGGATGCGAGGTTGCATCTAGAGTCCTGGTCTGAGGTCTGAGCGGAACCTGCTTCTTTCTCTTCAGTATGCTCTTGTACTTTGGGCAGTGCAGAGTGGCTCCTGGGAAGGGCCGGGCTGCATTACATGGCTTTTCTGACTGGTCTGGACAAGGAGCACCCTGCTCTCTAGGCTTGGACCCCTGCAAAGGGTGTCAACTGTCTCATTAATAATTTTTATATTGTTTCGTGCAGACACGATAGTTTGAGTGTATCCAGCTCAAGAAAAATGCATTCTTGAGGTTAATCTTCCAGCTTCTTTTTCCCTTTCTCAACTTGGCTACAGAAAGGGGTAGGATTCCCTTGCACTCCTGGCCCTGTTCTCGCCGGGATCCAGATGGAGCGACTTTCTCAGGTGAGAAGGAGCCCCTCAGGGGCCCCCACAGAAGAGATCACAGCTTTGGGGGCCTGCAGGACTCGGGGTGTGTTTCCAGAGAGCTTCCTTCTGGGTATCAGAGCTTGGGTGTGGATCCCAAGCGGAGGCCACCGGTGCTTGCATCTCAGTGATGCCAACTGGAGCGGGTGATGAGGACCAAGTTTCTGGTTTTCTTCACTCTTTTTGCAAATGGAGCTGGTACAGTGGACCTGGATCATCAGACACGAGTCACATAAACAGGATTTCATGTACCAGTGCTGCCGAGAAGGCAACAACTGGGGTCTCCTGAAGGCTGGGTCACTGCTGTGGGGAATGCATACTACTGTGCCCTCCACCTTTGGACCCCCACACTGTACTCGGCACAGAAGCTGGACAGCTGTACGGGGTTCTCAGGCCAGAGGCTGGACCTGGCTCCTGGCCCCGCCGGCCTCCCCAGCCAGCGCCCACAGGTCCACAGCCACCCATTGTATCCTTGTTGAGTAATCATACTCACAGGCTGTGCGACTTCCCTTGCCCATAGGAGGCTGGGGATAGGGGAGGTTCCTCTGGGACAGTAGCCCAGCCTCCTGGGACAATGGAACCTCTCCTCTGTGCAGGCTCTGCTCACAGCCCTGTCCTGCCCACACCAGCTGTGGAGACCGGGACTGCAGAGCAGACAAGGAGATGGCACCTCCCGGCCACCAGGGGCACTGTGGCCATGGCCTTGTCCATGGCTGGGCAGGAGCCTGGAAGGTCTGGTTGACGTAAGGTCTCTGTCATGAGCTCAGCCCCATGTTCCATTGTCATACACCTACATGCCAGGCACTGCCGTGGCTCCAAAGACGTCACTCCACCAGTGTGGGGCCTGTGTCCCAGCCTCCCCCCTAACTTTGCCCCTCTAAGAGGGAAACCACACAGGGAAAAATCACAGGGGGTATGTTGAATAAACACACGAGTACATCCTATGAAGGAATATGTGGGTTTTTCCTGATTCCTGGGCTGTACTTTCCCAGAAGCCTCTGAGCTTCAGGATAAGGACTTTTGAAAGAGCCCAGGGCAGGTGGGGGCTAGAGCAACTGGAAATTCCTGTATTCTACTTGCCAGGCAGGAGCTGGGCACTTCAGGTCGAGCCACCCCATCTCACCACTGCCCTGTGAGGCAGAAGCAGCCAAGAGCTGAGATCCTTACCTGGTCCCTTGTGCCGCTGTAAGCATTGCTAATCAACCCCACATCCTCCATGGCTCAGCACTGACCAGCGGCCACTGGCCAGGAAGCGGTCAGTAGCAGAGCCTGTGGAGACAGTGCGTGCCTGTGAATGATTCTGTCTGCACCGGGTGGCTGTGGCTGGGATGCATGGCGGGTCAGTCTGCCAGCCGCTCGGCAAGGCTTTCTCTGGGTCTTTTTGACTTAGTTTATTTTTTGAATTGTAAGTTGTTTGAGTGGTCAAAGGTAAACCCCTGTGAAGGGCCTGCTCAGGATTCTCACTTCCATCCTCATCTCCCTGGTGTTTCCTCTGCCCCTGTGGGGCCCTGTCCTGCTCATTTCTATTTTGTCTTTGCACTGATCCGGGTGCAGTGCTGGTGAGAATGCGGATGGTTCTCATGGGCTCGTGTTCTACCTGTTCATGGCACTGCATGATCGATCTTACTTGGCCATGGCATGCGCAGCACAGTCTGTGTAAGGACCCCTTGGTGGACGGACACTGACTGGGCCTCGACTTCTCTCGGGGGAAGTGAGAGCGGGAGAGGCCAGCAGAGCCGTCCCCACAGCCTGCACCCTCATGGAGCTCCCAGCACCATAAGAATGAGCCAGGCAGCCCCCAGGTGACACGTGGCCCATGGCCAGGGCTTTAGCCAATAGCGGGCTGACCTGCAGGTGCAGAACAGAAGGCTGCCTTGGGCGCATGGGGTCCCTGAGGACAGGAGAGCCACAAGGAAGAGCTGGCTGGACTGGACCTGTGGAACTGTGAGCTGAGTAAACCTTGGAGCAGGGCTGTCCCTGGGGTCTGGTGGGTGCAGTCACACAGGTGGCACTGCCCACCCCTCAGGCCCCGAAAGCCTGGTGTTTTCCAGGAAGGACTTGCTGGGCACCTGCAGAATCACCTTCTACGGCTATGGCCACCTTACTGCGCTGCGATGCTGAGGTGGGCCATGCCTACCTCTGCTCTCTGTACTGTGACAGGGTTGAGGCCCGCACCTGGCTATGGGGTTGGGAGAGGCATCTAGAGGGCGGGAGGATGCTGTGGGGAGCCCCCATCCACCCCTGGACCAGATTCTCCCATGCTAGAGCCACGGCTGGTGTCACACCTGCACTCGCTTCCCCTCTCTTGCTTCCCCAGGGGCTGGGCCCCTTGCTCAGGTCTGCAGTCTCCCTGCCCCTCCACTGGAAAAATGGGAGCCAGAAAGGAGGTGCACACAGGTCGGGGCATCTGCAGTCCTCACTCTCAGCACCAGGGGGAGCACAGACAGAGAGAGGCGTGGTGGGCACTCAGGGGACTCCCAGTCCTAGGACTGAACTGTGACTTCCATGGTGAAAACGGCTTTTTTTTTTTAATTATTTTTTTTAGCACTGAGGTTTTAACCCAAGGCTTTCCCGCTGAGGTACACCCTCAGCCCTTTTTAAAATACTTTTTATTGTTTTGTGACAAGCTCTCACTAAGTCACCAGGCTGCTTCAGGGGATGAAACTTTTGATCCTCCTGCCTCAGCCTCCCAGAGTGCCGCATTGAGAGGTGTGTGTCAGCACATGAAAGGGATTCTCTGGTGCTGTTAAGGACCTAGAGGTGAGAGAGGACCCTGGATTCTGGGATCCCATGTCACCATGAGAGTCCTTGGGAGAGGGAGGCGGGAGGCAATGTGAGGGATGGTAGAACAGATGGAGAGGAACAGAGAGGTCCTGGGGGCTGTGCTCCTGGCCTGGGTTGGAGGAGGGACTGTGAGCCTGCGACTGTGGTTGCCTCCTGAAGCTAAAGCAGCCAGGAAAAGGCTCTGTTCAGAGCCTGAGGGGACCCCCTCGCTGCCGTTCCAGGGGTTCTGATTGCTTAACTCAGGCGAGCAAGTCAGTGAGTGGTCAAGGCATTGCGCTGCTGTCCATCGCACCAAGGATGTGGCGATTTGTTAGAAAGCACTGACTGCCAGCCACTCTGCTGTCATCAGTAATGGCTTCTGGTACCCTTTTATTGTTAATTGCACCTCCCATTACCTGTGTTGATCAAAATACAAAAGAGACAGACTACCAGAGCCCCACAGTCAGCACAGGGGAGGTGGACAGACCCTTCTGTGCATGTGGGAATGGCAGCTGCAGCCTCTGAAAGCCTGGGTCCTGGGTCCATATCTTCCTCCAGTTATAGCCCGGGCTCCCATCACAGGTTGTAGCACTCAAGTCACCTTGTGGCACCTGGCTCTGCATCTTCTCTGCATCCCTGCAGTCCAGCTGGCTGCCTGACAGAGCTGCAGGTGACAGCAGTGGAGGCTGAAGCAAGTGGCAGGGGTCCCAGATGCCAAAGTGCTCTGTGCTTCTGTCATGTGGCCAAGGCGGGATTGTCTCATGACAAGGGCCACGGGCGTGGACGTGGCTCAGCTTCCAGGGATCCAGTTCCTCCAGTTGAATGCTGCGTTGGCCCCGTGTGTCAGAGTCCTTGCAGGTGGGCTGGCCAACTCCCACCTCCCTCCTTCTCTGCTCTCTTCACAGAAGCACATGCCAAGGGCAGGGATCTAGAACAGAGCATGAAGTCCCTTGGCGGTGTCCCTCCTGTCATCCCACTGCTCAGTTTGGGGCTAGAGAGTATAAAGCCAGCGGCAGGTGTTCCCAAGCCTTGTAAGCACGAGACCCTCTCTGGCTACACCATTGTCGCCTGCTCTTCATTAGATGTCTACACCTCCAGGGTCCAGCACCTGGGTGATCCGCAGCTTGCTGTGACACAGCAGGAAGGACCATGGTCCCTTCCATATCCACACCCCCTTCTGGCCCTGAGGAAGAGCCAAGCCTATTCTCACCTCACTCAAATCACTCCTTCCTGGATTGTTTGTCCTGCCACTCAGGCAACAAGGAATTATAACACAAGCTGGAATTTTAAAACCTCCTGTGTCCCCTGGGCCCCCAGCCCCTACCAAGGCTCCACTCTGCACAACAGCCTGGCTGCATACCCTCAGGGGTGGGGTCGTGTTGGGCCCTAGTCTGCAGTCTGAGAAGGGAGTGTGGCAGCCTGTCCCTTTGCGGTGGTTGACCTTAGATGCCAGCGATATGAGGACAAACACACCTTTCTCACCAGCTGGACGAAATCCCCGCAGTCCCGGGGTGGGAGTCCGAGGAGAGGCCGGGTGCAGGAGTCCAGGGCAGAGCCATGGCTCACAATGAGGATGGTGCCCGCTGTGGACAAAACACTTCAAGGTCAAAGCGACTGCATAGAAGGCTTTGAGCCCCATGGCCTCTGAGTGAGCTACACTCATGGCCCTTTTATCTTTCATCTTGAGACAGAGTCTAGCTAAAGTCACTAAATTGATCAGGCTGGGTTTGAACTTGCAATCCTCCTGGCTTAGCTTCTCAGAGTGGTGGGATTATGAGCTAGAACTTACCTCTTACTAGTGCAGGGGTTCCCCAAGTTGCTGGGGTGGAGCTGCTTTTGTAGCACCCCACAGCAGAAGCAGGCGGGCTCCGCCATAGTGCTTCCCTCACTCTGATGTTGTGCATTAATTTTCAGAGTGCACGCCCTTCTCCAAGTGGGGTGCTGGGGTACATCCCCTGGCTGCCAGCCCAGAGGTGGGGTAAGGGGTGATCTGAGCTACCACCTCCTTGTTGGCACTGCCTGGGTGCTGTTGGCTAGAGACAAAGAGGGCAGTGACTGTTGCCTAGGCCAACCGCATAGCTTCCAGCCCCAGAACTGTATCCCAGCTACTGTGACCTCAGAGAGGACCCTCAGTTGGTTGGAGAGTGGGGCCAGGAACCAGCCAACTCCCTCCCTGGAGGTGACACCCGACTGCAGGCTGCTCCCACCCGAGGTGGTGGGCACTCACGCTCCTGTGGGCAGGCACCCAGGATCCGTTCCATGCTACGTGCACAGCGATCTGTGTACTGGGTATAGCTCTCGGCAGGCAGGAGGGAGGACAGCGGAAATGCAGGCCTGGAAGAAGGAGAGAGTGACTGCATCCTGGCTCCTCCAGGGGACTAGGGCTGCAGGCTGGGACAGCTGGAAGGAGAAGCTCCTTATGGAGGGGATGGGCCTGCTTCAGCCCCAGCCTGTGTCTGGATCGAGCCTAGCAGGGCCAAGTAGAGAGGACCTTGATGTGCTCCAGGGCCTCACCTTACCAGGGCTGGGCTGGGTTCTTTGCTGTCCCTGCAGGTCAATTTTAACATCCCCCCAATGCCTCAGGTGACACCTGATTGCCTGCTGCTGTTGCTAAGACCCCTGGCACGCTCAGCAAAGCCCCCACCCTCCTGGATCCCCCATCCCTTTCCCCCTGTCTCTTGCTCTCCATCCCTTCTCCTTCCTAGATTTTGCAAGTATCATGCATTTCCTGAATCAAGAACTAGAAAATGAGGCTGGGGAGATAGCTCAATAGAATAGGTACTTGCCTGGCAAATGCAAGGTCTTGAGTTCAATCCCCAGCACCACAAAAACAAACAAGCAAAAAAAAAACAAAAAACAAAACAAAACAAAAGAACTTGTAAAAAAAAAAAAGAACTAGAAAATGGTTATGATGGAGATCCAACCTGTAGTTGGGGTCCACAATGAAGCCTGCCTCTTTCAGCTCTGCCTGCGTCATGAAGCTCGGGTTGTCTCTGCCCATTTCCCACTTTGTCCACTCGAAGATCCCGGGCTCTATTCTTAGCTTCATTGTTTTCTCGAGTTTGAGTTCTGGATTCAACCAAACACAAATGTTTATCATGGTCATGTAAATATGCCTCTTCCCAGCTAGATCTGACCTACACACAGATCTAAATAATATCTTTCAAAAAATATGTTTTTTTTTTCTCAGTGAATACTGTCCTGTTATGCATAGCTGTGACATTTCTGAGGCCAGTGCTGTCATGCACTTAGAGCAGGACATTTTGTCTCTTCAGCAGGGACATCTCCCTGGGCTAGGGAGGTATCACAGACCACCCTGGGGCTTGTCCTGACCCCTACTACACTACAACATCTCAATTGTCACCATGGGTCTCACCCTGAGGATCCAGTCTGCCACAGGGGATGCTAGGGACCCAAAACCCCATTCTGATAGCAGCAAGCTGTCCTGGGGAGACTCGTATATTTGGGTCAAGGTAGGAGTTCTAGCCCTCTTGGGTTTTGAAAGCCCCTGTGCAGGTGTTTACACACCTGGTTGAGGAGCCACAGGTAAGCTGTGAATGAAAGGTGCTGACCCTCGGCCACATTGGTTCTTACTACTCTGACAACCCTGGCATGTCAGAAACAGCAGCAGGGGCGCTCCTTCCAGCAGCTCTTGCATATTGGCTCCTCATTGGCTGTGACTAGCTGGTGGCTGGCTGGTGGCTACTCACTGCATGCTGCAGGTACCCCTTTTCTTCCCTTCTCCCTGTGGAGAACAGCCCAGCCATCATGGCCATAGGAGAAGGTCATCAGAGTCTCACTCACCTTCCAGAATATGGTTGGCTGTCTGTATACAGCGGAGTGCTGGTGAGGAGAAGACAGCAGTAATTCTGACGCCACTGTCCAGGAGCGAGCTCCCTGCAAAACAGCGGTTGGGAGGCACACTAGGAACCCTACACCATGACAGGGAGACTAAGGTTCCCTGATTTCTACCCTGGGGTGGGCAGAACCTGCTGTCCTGACTGTACGATATTACAGGGTACAGGGAGATGACCTGGGGCACTGGCTGAGCCAGGTGGGCCCACGAAGAGCAGAGATTTCCTCCAGAAGAGGATTTGGAGGGATCTGAAGTAACAGACATTTGGCAGACATTTGGATTTCAATAATGAGAAATCCTCCATTATTATCTAAAAAGACAGAGGGGCCCATGTGCCAGGGATGTGGGCTCCCTAGGAACAGAGTGGTTCTTTACTGAGGTGTAAGGAACTGCCCCAGTGTCTAAAGCACCTGGGTCCTGAGCTCTCCTGAGGGGGCCACCCTCAGCTGACTGTCTCATCTGGGGCCTTGAAACCCTTGGGCAGAGTCGCTAAAGGGATGTGGCTTATAATTCTTAGATCACACCCTTGGCGCATGGAGAGGCTGTTGATTTTTCCTCTCCTCTCGTCTGTCTGTCTTTCCTCTTTCTCAGCCATCTGTCGCTGGGGCAGACCTCTGTATGTCTGTTTCCTGACTGTGTGACCTTGGGTGACCTCTCTGTGTCGGGATTTCTCATCAGCAGAGTGGAGAAATTGCTCACAGTGATGGCAAAGGATGAGCGGCGAGGGCCCATCCTTATAAAGCCATGATTATTGTCATCTCCCACAAGATGGCCCCGCATACCAGCAAGTCTGGCCTGGAATGATCCGCAGGATGACAGAGGCGGATCGCATTCAAAGTCTCTGAGTCCACTGCTCCGCCTGGGCAGACAGTGAGGGAAGTTCAGATCCGGCCTGTAGTATTTCCCTAAAGCAGAAGTGAGCATCAGCTGTCCTGGCCAATTACATTAGCACACACTGGTCTCCTCAAACGCCCTGCCACGGGATCCACACTTCAGGCAAGTTACAGTGGCAGCTGTCACCAACTGTAGTCCCTGGATGTGCTGTGTGGTATGGGTTGAACCTGAAAAGCTAAGGCAGCTTTGCCATGCATGAAGCCACTGCTCAAATACAGAGCCCCAGGGACCAAAGCCCACTTTGCCTGGCTTAGGCAGGTGGCCCAAGAGAAAATCATAGTGTTGCAAGCTAAGCATGGTGATGTCATCCCAGCACTCCAGGAGGCTGAGGCAGGAGGATTGCAAGTTTAAGTCAGGCTAGGCAGTTTACTGACTTAACCCTGTCTCAAAATAATAATAAAATAATAATAATAATAATAATAATAATAATAATAATAATAATGCCGAGGATGTGGCTCAGTGCAAATGTTCTGGGGTTTAATCCCCAGTATCCAAAATAAAAGTGAGAGGGTTGGTTCCTGATAAATAGCACCTGTCACCTTTGCAGGGGACACTGCCACACCATGCACCTGTGTATTCCAGCTTCCCTTGGAGCTCCTGAGCAAGCCCACACCTCCTGTGGTCCAGCAGCCACTGCATCTCAGCCATTGTAGGGAGTGGGGCTAGGGCTTTCACTCCAGGACCCAAGCTCACTCTATATCCTGCCTACCGTCCGGTGTGGAGCACTGTCGCAGCCAGCACTTCCCGAAGACCTGGTCCACTCGCTCCCCATGGCGCACCACCAGCACGCTCCTCCTCGCAATTGTGGCCTGCGTGGGAAGCCAAAGCCTCTTAGAGATGAATCGAATTGCCCCAGCAGTACCTGCTCTCCTGGTCATCGGCCACTGGCCTGGAGACCCAGGCCCCTGTGTGACCCGGTCACTATAGTGACAGGAACCTGGAACCATTTTAGTTTCATTCAACTTCTTATTTCCTGGGCAAGAGAGCATCCCAGAAATGAAAGTGAAAGGTTGGCTCACACTGTCACCCAGCAATTGCTCTCTTCCAAAACCATGTACCTCTGCAGAGATATTTTAGGACACTATCTCCATCCACCCTTATGTTATTACTATATATTTCCTGTCTACATATCTACCTGTCCATCCATGTATATTGCACCTATTGTCTCTTTTATGAGCAGTCTTCCTTTTCCAAGAAAGCCTCCAGTACTGCCTCTTACATAGAAAAGTTTTGAATACAACCAATATATACTCTCCTTTAGAATGTCTCTAAATGACTTATCACACCTAACAAAACATGTACTATACATTGTTTGTGGAACGGTCATGGGTTGAAGGCTTGGTCTCAGCCTGGGATGCTCCTGGGCAGGTGTCCCTCCATTTAAGAGGGAGGAGCCTGGTAGAAGGAAGTGAGGTCATGGAGGTGTGTCCTCGAAAAGGATGTGACTGTCTCCTTCTCCTTCTCTCTTTCCCCACATCTTTCCTTTGCTATGTTTCCTGGCTGTCACCATTGTGTCCTGTATGATACACTCAGAGAAACAGGGCCAAGAAAACTTTTGGACTCAAACCTTTAACAGCATGATCAGGAGAATGCTTTCTGTCTTTTAAAGTTGATATCTGAGGTGTTTTGTCACAGTAATGGAAAGATGACTGCTATAAGGTGGAAAATTTTGCATATTTTTGGTCCACAATTGTATGACTCAGTAGGCAGAGAAGCTGTGACAGAAGAACTGATTGTATTTTATTCAGTCTTTTCTCAGTGTAAGGGTGGGTGTACCAGGGACTGGAGGACTGGAGACTGGGACAGTCAGGGCACACCAGAGAAGCTGTTGGCTGCAGAACCTTATGTACAAGCTGGGACCTTCAGGGAAGGTGCTGAAGTTCACATCACCCTGGAAGGCACTGTGGGATAGTGCACATCACCTGCTCTGATCTCCTGGCCCTGGAAGATGTGCCCAGCCTCAGGCTCAGACATATGGGGACTGTTCTAGGGACAGATGTAGATGCCTTACCTCCACACAAGGACAGTGTGCTGCCTATGACCCTGAGGACTCAAGCCATTGCTGTTCCTGTGACAACTCCAGGAGACAGCTGACAGACAGACCAAGGGGCAGCCCACACCCCTCCCCCAAGAGCCATGTGTGTCCTTGGAATCAATGGGCAAACATAGAAAGATGCTTTGTAGAGAGGACAAGGACTGAGTGGACAGTGACAGCCACTGGAGGGTCAAGGAGCTCCTGGGAAGACAGGACTTAGCCATGCACCAGCTGAAGTCATCAGGATGGGCAGGGCCGGGTGGCATGGCAGGGGGCCGTCCAGTGTGCTTTGCCTGTTTATGTTTCAGCTTTGGCAGCACACTCCAGAGTGCAAACCCAAGAGCTTGGGTTTGGAGCATTTTTTTGCTGAGTTGAGGAGAGGTTCTCCTCTTTAGCCTAACCCATGCAGCAGCCTCCCACTACTTTCTGACTTGCCCTAAATCCTAGAGAGGAAAGTGCAGTGTCTTTAACATCTGCAGATCACGCCAGATCATGTTTGCTTCTGTGAACAGTGATGGAGCCAGCAGGCAGACTTCCCCTGCTCTGTGTCCTTGGTGTTGGAAAGCAGCTGATGATCGCTGGACGGGAGAAGGCCAGAGAATAGAGCAAAGAGAGGCTATATTGGCCTTCCTGGTACTCCAGGGATCAGCACCAAGGACAGCTCCAGATGCCTCCAGCAGACCAGGCTGACCCGGACAAAGGCCATTCCAGCTGCTCTGTGGACCAGATGTTCTTGGTGATTCCACTACTTGTGGCAGGTACAGGGACCACAGAGTCTGTGAGCCCAGAGGACACCCTGAGTCTTCACTTTTGGAGGGCTAGCTTTTTGAGCAGGGCTGGGCAGGTGCTTTGGGGATGAGGGCCCAGCTCCAGGGCACAGCTCTGAGGGGAACTTTGCCTTGCTGTTCTCCCATTCCAAAGTTTGGTGGTGCAGGAATCACCCATCCTGACAAGTTACTCTTGAGAAGATGCACTAGAACGATATGCATCTCCTCGCTCTGCAAGGACATGATGTGACCTGCATGTGCTGGAACTCAGCCTGCCTAGCTGAGGGCTGGCAGTGCTTTGGGCTGAGTTGCATTTGGTCCATTTTCTCCACTAGGTGACTCCAGAGCACTTTAACTTTGACTGTGAGAGAAATAGGGTAATGAGGTGAAAGAGGAGGGTCCTAGGGAATGGGATGGACCAGTGTCTACGGCAGTGCTGGGGGACCTATGGCATGCATGCCACAGCAGGTTCTTTGTGTCTCTGAAAGTTCTAAAAGGTTCACCATCACTGATGCAGAGTCTGTGGAGTGAGGTGGGACCCATAATCTCTCTAGGCAGACAGGGCTCTGTTCATGACTCAGGGCTCCATAACAAGACATCCCAAACTAGGAGACACAAAATGACAGGAATATATCCTCCCACAGTTCTGGAGCTCAAGAATTCAAGTCATGGCTGCAAAGCTGAGGTCCCCACAAAGGCTGTGTGAAGGTGGGGATCCAATATGTCCTCCCCAGATGCTCCTGTGTTAGAGGTATGGCTGCTGATGGGCTTTGGGAAGCAGATTGAATTATGAAAGTTGTAATCTAATCAGTAGACTAATCCACTCATGTGATCATAATTTGACAAAGGACGTGGTGCATGCCTGCAGGCTGGTGCTCACAGAGGCCAAGGAAGGAGGATTATAAATTCACTTCCAGCCTGGGCAACTTAGTGACTGAAGGAGACCCTGACTCTGAATAAAACATAAAGGGCTGGAAATGTAGCTTGGTGCCAATGTTCTGGGTTCAATCTTCTGCACTGGAGGGATGATCTTAATTTGATGATAGTATTGGAAGTTAGTAGAAACAAGAGGTGAAGCCTAGTTGAAGGGAGAGGGTGTCATGGGGATGTGACCTTGTGGACTACATCTGATCCCTAGTTCCTTCCTGTATGGCCTTCTCATCCTTCCTGGATGCATGAGTGGAGCAGCTTTCCCCCTTGCAGCCTCCATCATGTTGTTCGTCCTCATGAAAGCTCAAAAGCCATGGTCTGATAAGACCCTGGACTGAACCTCTGAAGCCATGAGCCAAGATATAAATTGTGGGGAGCATCCGAACCTCAAGATCGGTCACACATGTGGGGCTGGAGCACAGCCAGCCTGGGAACACAGTGTTGAGATGAGCCATTGAACAAGCTGCTTCAGCCTTGAGCTCATGAGTGTGAAGCGCCCCAGGCAAGCCAGGTGAATGGTGAATGGGTCCTGAGAATGTGAGGTGAGCTAGTTGTTAGGCAGAGGGCTTCACCTGACATCAGCCTGCCAAGTGTATAAATAAACGCACTGCAGTCATTGGGTTGTTCTTTTCTCCACCAAGAGAGAGGGTACCACCTGACCTCAGATTTCTGCATTTTCACTCTTGCTTTCATTCTTCACAGTCTGTCCCCCTTCCCACCTCGGGAGTTTCTCAAGAGCTGTGCTGGATGTAGCAATAAACCTGTCCTCCTTGAGGTTTAGTCTCCAAGCTATTTCATGACAGTGGCAGGTGGCACAGGCTTGAAGGGAAGCTCCTGTTTTCCTCCTGCAGGTGTTCATCCTCCCATGGCTGCCTTATGCCAATCTGTTCCTATGTGGCCACCTCTGGGTGTCTTTCTGGCCTTCCTCTTATAAAGACCATTGTGATGGTTTCTAAGGTCCCTCTGACCACCCAGGATCATCTCTCTCTGGCACTTAACTCTGGGGCTTCTACAAAGGCCCTGTCCTTATCAGGGCACATCTGTGGGCTCCAGGACCCACAGCTTCCTGTCTGTGGGTCCTTCATTTCAGCCACATTGCGCCGGCTATGAAGTAGAGGTGAAACCAGACCAAGGGAGGGGGTCCAGTTTGCCAGGAGGTGTATGTGCCTTTTTCCATCCACTTAAAGAACTAGTGGGTGCAGCACAGGCCTGACTTGAGGGACTTCTGTTTCTGGAAGGACACATTCCACAGAGAGGCCTGTGGGGCTTGCTCAAGTTCCTGAGGGTGATGGTATGTCCAGCCTGCACTGTCACCTGGTGAGGCAGGAGGTAGACAAGGAAAAGGCTGGAAAATGAGAGAAGATGAGGTGGTCTTGGAGCTTGCTTTCTGGGAATCCAGTGTCCAAGAAAAGAGTTGGGAAATAAAGGAGGGCCCAGCTTGGAGTGGATTTTGGTGACGAGACCCCCCTTCTGGGCCCTGTGGTTGTGGATACCATGGCAGTTCCTCTAAGGACCACACAAGGTCAAAATCTCCACCCTTAATAGAGGAGCTGAGTCAGGTTCCATTGAAAAAGCCATACCTTGGAGCAAAGCCTCAATCTTGCCAGCTTGAGACCTTCAGCTCCTGCAGGGCATTGAGCTCCTCCTACCGGCCTGCCCACCCTGTGGTATGGATACTGTCTTTTCCAAATGAATCATGGACCCTGATGCTGCACTTGGGTGTCCTGCTTAGTTCTTTGGCTAGGACATGAGGGGCCTGGACAGTACTCCAACATGGTAACACTGTGCTGGGAAGCCTGGGCAGAGGGGCTCTTTTCTGTCTACTTGTGGCTGGCAGGACCCTGGCTCCCTGGTCAATAGCTCCTGGGCCTGGGCCTCCTCTCTGGTTGAAGACTTGACTGTAGAGGATCTGAGTCATCTCCCAGTGCCTGGTGTCTCATGCTCAGCTCCTGATTGGGTCTCTAGTGGAGAGGACCCATTTCCAGAAAGGATGCTAGGGGAGTAGCTAGGGAAGTAGGAGCAATCCCACAGCCAAGGGCTGCAACAGCACACATTGATTCTCTTATAAGTGGAGCCCACAAGTCCAGGCCAAGCTATCAGCATTGCAGGTTCCCGGATGCCTTTGTCCTTGGCTGGCAAATGGTGTCTTCTCCCGGTGACCTCATGGGTCACTGCCTGTGTGTGCTGTGTCTCCTTCTCTTCTTATAAGGACATAGCTTGGGTGGATCAAAGCCTATGCAAGGGAGCTTATTTTACCTTAATTATTTCTATAAAAGCTGGTTCTCCAGATACTGTCATATTTGCAGGGCCACAGTGGGAATGAGAGTTTTGACATATGGATTCTGGGAACACAGTTAGGTGCATCATGGTGGTAAAGTTTTCTTCTGGTCATTGCACTATTTATCAAATGAGATTAGTGAGCCAGGTCTGATCCTGGCACTGAGACTCAGGGATGGGCTACATCATGGTAGTGACATCCTCATGATCTCCACGGCTCAGCCAGGACCCTCCTCTTAAGCTCCCAACATCAGCTCCCTCACCCTTCCAAGACCTGCTTTCAGACCTGTGAAATGAGTGGTAGGAATGCTGCCTATATTGATTGGGGTTGCTGAGAGGAGTGATCCTAACCTACTGTCTGCCGCACAGCAGGGTGCCGAGGGCCCAATTTGGAAACATGTGGCAGCTGCTCAAGAGCCAGCTGTGGGTGCTGGCCCTAGGGGTTACTTCTAAAGAAGGCCAAACTTCCAGTCAGAGGATGACCCTTCCCCCAGCGAGATGCCTGATGGCCTCGGGGGAACATGTAGCGCACTGTCCCTCTGCATCATGGGCTCCTGGATGTGTCTGTGTGAATGCCCAGACTCAAGATGTCCTTGCTGTGCCTTCGAGTCTGGCTCCTCCAGCCTGCAGTGCGGGTCCATATCTCTCCCCTCCCAGCCTGGAGAAGCTTTCTTTGGACATGGTCCTTAGTGCAGGAATTGGGATATTGTTATCCCTTTTCTTCCCTGTGTGGGGTCCTAGCACCATAACTTGTGTTGACTACAGCGTGAAAGTTGGGTCCCCTCTGGGAGGACAGACCACATGTAGCCCCCAGGGCTCTGGCCCTGCTGAGAAGCACACCATGCTGGTCCACATATGAGTCTACCCTAGGCAGTAGGAAAGTTGTCTATAGCCCAAAAGCCAAACCCAAGGATCCCTGCCTACCAAAGGGTTTTCAAAAGATAGTTTTACTTTTTGTCCTTAAGAAGTGGGATTCTATTACCTGCAAGTGCTGTATGCTGCTGATACTCCTGGATGTTGGAGAGTGGGGTTCTCTGTTCTGCCTGCCACTAGCTTCGGCATCCTTTCTGGAGTTGGCATCCATGGCTAGGCTGAAGGTGTATGTCCTGGGGGAGAAAAGAAATGGGCTGTGAACAGAGCTGCACCTAGTGCTGGAAACACAGTCTATGGCCTTTGAGGTACTTGCAAAGGTCCTGGGCCACCTCTGTGACAAGATCACCCAGAGTGCAGGACACAGCACATGCAAAGCACTCGGGACTCCAAATGGGAATCATAGGCATGTTTTATCACTTCTAGCACCTCCTGTGGTGCTTAATTTCATGGTCCACCTGCCAGGACACAGGGCCCTGGTAAGTGGGCAAACATTACCTTATTTTAGTCTTGGGGATTGAATCCTGGGTCTTCACTGGCCTACATTCTCAGCACTACTTTAAGTTGTTATTTTGAGACAGGTTCTTGCTAAGTCACTAAATCTTCCAGGCTGGATTTGAACTCTCAATCCTCTTGCCTCAGACTCTTAGGTGCTGGGACTACAGGTGTGCACCACCATGCCCAGCTGTAAGGCTATTTCACTCAGTGTGGCGAGTATTTTTTAAAGATGAGATTTATGTTTAAATCAGTAAACTGAGTAAGGCCCTCTGTGATGCAGGGAGGCCACATGCCATCATTCCAGGTTCTTAGTAGAAAATAGAAGGGAGTCCCTGAGGTACAAGGATGCCTGTGCCTGGTCATCTTGAGACAGCACCGGAGCAGGCCAGGTGATAAGGAATCACCCCTGGTCCAATGGATCTAGCAAAATGTCACAGGACAGACTTTCCTTTGGGAGCACCCAAGATAGATAGGGCATGGGGATGAGTCATAGGTAAGAACTCCAGGCTTTGGAGAAGGAAGAGGTCCCCAAAAAACGTGTGTATGGAAGGAATGGGCTGGGTGGTAAGGGAAAGGTAAGAAACAAAGAGCAATGGTCACAGGAATTCCCCTTCAAGCAGTAGAAGACGAGTGAGTCATTCACAGAGGATGAGATCTTCACGAACTCTTTAGAAACTATCTAAACCCACCATTCAATGGCCATCCCTACTTTTTATTTCTTCCACCCCTGTAGTCATGTGTAGTCTCTTTCCAGCCCCTAAATACTGCTACGGCTGGCACAGCCACACCAGTTTTGTCCTCAGCCTGCTCTGGGATTGTCCTGTTCCCATGATCAGGCCTGAGCTGTTCACTGTCTACATTTTGGTTTTCATTTTGATTCACTTGCATGTATGATTTTTGTAGTACTGAAGACTCAACTTGGCCTCCAGTACACAAGGAGACCTCCACCACTGAGCCACACTCCAAGTCCTTCTTAAACTTTGAGCTCTTGCTCCTGAATCTTGCATTGTCAGATGGCTGTAGCAGGTCACAGCTGCCCCAGGACAGCAGTGTTCACTGTGGCCCTGATGGTTCTGGTCCATGAGCAGACTCTAAGGGAGGGGCCGCTTCGCACACAGGGCCTCACATGCTGACACAGGAAATGGTGGTCGGTTTCTCTTCCAGAGGGCAGGGTGGGGACACCTGGACCTTGCTATCAGCAAGTGACATCTGTGAAGTTTGCCCTCAGTGCAAACCGAAGACGTCCCTTGGCTCCAAGTCGCAGCACAGTCAGGAAGAAGACAAGGCTGCGGCTTCGGGGGAGGAGGGAGGGGCCCCTGTGTGACATTTCTACTTTTTTCTTTCTCCATTCATCTGGGGCCTAGCTCACTGCACAGAGGCAGTAGGCTTTCAGCTTTAGCCCGGATCTCAGTGGGTGGTGTGGGAGGCTCCATGGACAACATCGCTACACTGGAGATGGGACCCTAAGCACTCACTAGCGCTGTTTTCTCAGCTTCAAGGCTGAGCTCTGGTACCTAGGCTGTCCCCCACCCAGGCCTCACCCTTGGCTTTGGGTAGCATCTTCTCCCCATGAGGTCCCTCTGGGCTTTGATGCCCTGTTCAAGGAAATGGGTTGGATCAGGGCTCACCAATGACCTCATTTTGCCCAAATTGCCTGTCTCCAAGTAGAGTCATATTGTGAGGTGCTGTGGGGCAGGACTTCAAACTGAATTTTGTGGAGTTTCAACTCAACCCATGGCTTTGCGTTTTTTTTAATCTGAGCTACTTACAACCAACCTACCTGCTTGGTCGTTTGGAAGTTGCTGAGTGCGTCTGTGGGCAGTGCAGAGTCCAAGGTCTTCCCTGGACTCAGGCCTTGGCCCTCTGCTGGGCTCTGCATCCTACTGTCCCACAGGCCTCCTGCACAGAGCGCCAGATCCCATGTAGCTCCCTGTGCTGCTTCTTGGGGATCACTGTCCTGCTGGCATGGGGCCTCACCGCAGTGCGGTGATTGGGCTGGGGACGGGCTGTAGCCCTGACACTCTGTTCTTGGACACCAGGGTAAGGTGTCCCTCTGGCCAAGCTTGCACTGCACATGTCCAGGGGAGGGGTGGTCGGTGGCCTTATTGAAGACCCACATGGCAAATCACTGCTGTCAGGATGACTTGGGACACCACAGGCTGATGGAGTGCTCATTAGACACCCTGCAGTGCCCAGTGGACCTTTATTTTTTCCTTTTGAGCAATTTTTAAAAAACATTTATTAATTCCTAGGAGAAACTTGTCTCTAGAGAGAAGCATCCCAGAGATGTCAGGCATAGAAGGTGGAGGGTTATTCTGGTGATGGGTGCTAGACACATTAACTGTGGAGTTAGTGATGACAGCCATGCCTGAATCTTCCACAGGGTCTTGCGGATTGCCTGGTGGGTCCTCGGTGACAATGGTCTCTCCATCTGGGGCAGCAAGAGACAGATGAGAGCCTAACAGGGCACCCAGGTGGCAGCCATGACCTACATGGTCACCAGGTCCCTCTCCAGGTGATGGACAGTGCCTCCTGATGCAGCCCTGGATGCCAGCAGCCTGTGACTTTGAAATAGCCCCCGGCCCCACATCTGTGTCTGCTCCTTCCAGGTCCTGGTCTGAAGGCATCTCTGTCCATGCAACTGAGGTATTTGTAGCAGAGCCACCTCCACTTCAATCCTAGAAATGGAAACTCTGAGTGTGGACCTCCCAGCAGCCAGATGTGGACAAACTTTGGCCCTGGTTTCAGCTGACTTTTTTATTCTTCCTTGGAACTGCCATGCCTGGTTCATTGATATTTTTTTAATAGAATGCTTGCTTTGGGCAATTAGTTGGGGATTAGAGTAGGGCAGAATCAAGCCCCATGGAAAGGTAAACCAGTTGCTTGATCTTCCTGTGCCTCAGTTTATTCACCTGTAAAAGGCAGCAACAGCACTGTCTGCTCTCGTGTTGCTGAAAAGAGCAATAAGCTGCTCAGGGCAAAGGCAGTGCCCAGTGCCTGGCACAGGTTGGGGTGCAGTGTTTTATGGGACTGCAAATATTCTGAAACTACTTAAAGCTGCTTAACTGAGCACATTCTGAGTCAGCACCTCGATGCCAAGTGCTGGGACTGTGGCTGCCAGTTCCTACCTAGGTTTGCTTTGTGGTCCCAGCAGGAAGTTGAACGCCTTTGGATGAGGACTTTAGAGAGCAGCACTGCCTGCAGAGCTGTCACGCAGGCTGGGGTCCAGTGGTGTGAGTGGGGTCCGCTGTTCAGTGTGCAGCCCACCAGCACCCGTGCTGCCCCTGCCTTGCAATGCACCCCTGGATATGTGCATGATGAACAGGACAGAACCTGATGCACGAGGAAGCGGTCGCCATCACCTGGCCTCCCTTTGTAAATATTGCCAGGAAAGACTTGCTTCACTTTTCTATCTCTAGAGCTAACTGGATTTTACCTGGTGTCTTCATACTTTGGTAGAACGAGCACCTATTAGGCACACAGAGCAGGGCCAAAGGGGACAGGAAATAGGACAGAAAGAGGAGCAGTGTCCCTGGTGCTGCTCTAAAGCGTTTACTAAATTATGTGGTGTTTAGCATAATGACTGCTCTAGTTCCGTCTGGCCAAATTTGTGTTTTTTAAACCATGATTTCCTGCAGGATCTAGTCATTTTCCCCAGTAGCTTCTAGTCACACCACTAGTCAGGCCTCTTTTGGGGGGAGTTAAATGATTAAAAACAAACATTTATTTTCAAAATGCACTGTTTGATAATTTGCTCAAAGCAGAAATCTTGTGATAGTATCGATTCCTTGACAGAGAACATGTAAGCGGCTGCCAAGGACCCCTCAGTTAAAATGGCATTGTTTGCATAGCTTTGTCTGGCCTACAAGCCTCCAGGGGATGAGGTACAGGAAAAAGTTCCCCGCACATGCGGATGCTGGAAGCTGTTTGTCTATAGAAATTGCCCAGGAGGTAGAGCTAAATACCTTTAGATTGGGTAGCTTGCAAATATATCTATGTTCAACTTAATAATTCATTCATTTGTAGGGGAAAAACACTAAAGGAGGCGGAGAGGGGTTTGAGGAAGTCTTAATTAAGCAAGGGTGTGGATCAGGGCAGTGGTGTGGGCTGTCCCTTCTGGAGACAGGGTTGCCCCTTGTCTGTCAGCAAGTTCTGATGGGGCCAGACACCCTTGCACATGATGAGGCGTTTCTGTTCCTCTACCCCTTGGGCTGTCACCAATTATCCCCCAACTGTCCCCTCACTGTCCGAATCATCAAAACTTGCCGGGACCTCTCCTCCTCCACCCCAATCCTCTGAGTTCTGCTACCTGATGTGCATGTCTGGAGGGCTCAAAGATCGCATAAAGCAGTTCCTGTAAATAAATCACATAGTGGATATATGCATGAACCTGCATGTGTGTTATGTACACTATTTCACATGTATTTTGTATTAGGTACATATATGTATGCACATGTAGTTCTATGCAGGTATAATATTTACATGTGTTTACAATATATATGCATAGCATAAAAATTACTGGCTCTTCACCAACTAAATTTTTATTAAGTTTGGTGTCAGGATCATGGGGATGCTCTAACAAATACTTAAAATATGCAGACAGTTTGGGGCTGGACAATGAGCAGAGGTGGAAGAATCGTTAGATGAATGCTAAGGAAAGCCCATGTCATCATGAGCTGAGGGCTCATAGAAGCTGGTGGTGGGGGCACCTGTAATCCCACTCTCTGGGAGGCTGAGGCAGGGGGATTGAATATTGGAGTCCAGCATGGGCAATTGAGAGACTTAGTGAGACTTTGACGCAAAATAAAAAAAATTAGAAAGAGGGAGCATGTAGCTCAGTGCAAAGGCCTTGGGTTTAGCCTCAAGTACTGACATCAAAAGTATGGATGTTAAAGATGCTGTTGGGAGGGCTCAGAAAGGAGTGAGAGGGGCCTCATGGGATGTGGGGACAAGAGGATTCTGTTACGTAGTAGAAACAAAATTGGGTGCAGGCATCGGTCGGCACTGGAACTTGTAAGTGATGGGGCAGCTAAGTAGCTGAGGATGCTTCTAAGCAAAAGATTGAAAGACATCATCATTTCTTCATGTTGCTCAGGGGACATGGGACAGGAGATGGCCAGGTTTCAAGGGGACCAGGAGACAAAGAGCACACAAATCCTCAGCCCTGCCAGATGCTAAAATTAAGAGGCTGAGGATGAGCAGGAGGAAGAGGCTCACAGAAGAATCTGGAGTTTCCAGGAAAGAACCTCTGTTGACCACCACGTGAGTGCAGGAGACGATCCCAGGCCTCAGAGGGGACCCCAGCCCTGGCCACACATCAGTGACAGCCTTGTGACTCCTGCCTAGAGGACCCAATTTAACTGAATCTGGCTCCTGATCCATGAAAATTCTGAGAAGTGTAGTTTGTTTCAGGTGCTGAGTTTGTGGGAAGTTGCCATAGAGGAATAGAGATCTACCAATGCACTTAGCAGTTAACAGTTTATGCACCAGACAAAAGACTCAGTGAGCCCAAGCTCAAGGCTTCTGAGGATGATGTCCAATGTTTGTAAGAAAGAAGAAGGTTTTTGCAATAATTGCCGGGGTTTACTGCCTCAGAAAAATAATATGAAGCAGTCTGTATTTCCTGAATGTTCTCAGCAGAAACCATGCATGGATGAAGCTACTCACTGGATCATTTTGTCAGTGTGTCCATAGTACTTTCAGTGACAAAAGAGTGTAGACATGATCCTCGCAGTGCACGCTGTCCCAGGAGCCCAGTGCCCACTGCCCCGGGTCTTCAGTGCCCAGGGCCCATATGCGCTGCAGCGGGGGCTGCACTCACCTGTGCTTGACCCAGGTATCTGCCTCACTGGCCCTCTCCGTATAGTTCTCCGGCAGGAAGCCCCGGCAGCCCGTGCGCTGTGAAGTCCCCAGGACCCAGCCCTCACTGGCTTCCTCCTGCTCGGTGGGGTCCACGAAGATGTAGTCACCAGGGCTGAGCATCAGCTCGTCCATGTTCTGGGGTTTGTACTGGAACAGGGCCCGCAGTGTCTGGAAGGAGACAGGAGGGGGTTTTGTATTTCCTCCAAGGTTTGCACTGGGAAGCAACAGCTGGAGCAGGGCTGCCATGTTTGGGCCTCACTTCCTTATTCCTCTGTGTTCTCAGGCACCAAGATCTCAAGATGACTTTGTCAAGTGATGTGTGGTGGAGAATATAATGCAGCATGGGACTCTGGGTGGATTTGGGGATGTATTTTGGTATCTATGTCTTTCATTCTTTTCTTTCTTTCTTTCTTTCTTTCTTTCTTTCTTTCTTTCTTTCTTTCTTTCTTTCTTTCTTTCTTTCTCTTTCCCTCCTTCCTTCTTTTCTTCCTTTCTCCCATCTTCCTTCCTTCCATACATATATCCATCCATCCATCCATCCATCCATCCATCCATCCATCCATCCATCCATCTTTCTACTCATCCACCATCCATTTACTCCTCCCTCCCTCCCTGCCTTCCTTCCAACCATGCATCCACTCACCCATCCATCCACCTACCCCCCCACCCATGCATCCATCTACTTCTTTCTTACACAGAAGTCCTTCAGCTGTCACTGTGTGTTCACACATGCCTTCCTTGGCACGGGGTGACTACAACCTCTGCGGATGGGGAACAGAGCAGATATAGCAGCACCTCAGGTTGTCATTTTCATCCACAAACAATGTGGTTCTCACACAGAGGCATTTGGCGAAATGTTTTTTTTTTTTTTTTGTGAACTCTGCATCCAGTGACGAACAGAACCATGACTGGCTGTCTTTGCTGCCCCAAAATGAACATGGCCATCTGTAGTGGCTGATACATTGTGTCAACTTGGCTGAATGCCTTGGTGGTTCCATACCCTGAGCCCTGGGTCCCGAGGACCAGCCCGAGGGCCAGCCCCAAAGTAATTCAGCATAAAAAGAGTGTATAAAGGGATTGAGAAAGGGTTCTGCACTCCACTTCCTTGGAGGAAGTTCAGTCTTCACAGTCAGCATGAACTTCATCTCCTGGCTTCCAGTGTAGACTCTTTGGCTTCCGGCTTGGATCCTTCAGCTTTCCATCACAGATTCTTCAGTCTTTCACCGCGGACACATCTGCTGACTGACAGACTTGCATGGAGCACAGCAGTGAGCTTCAGACCTGGGGACTGAATCCTTCAGGCAGGGTGTGCAGATGCCCTCTTCACACTTGCTCATCTGACTCTGCGGCTGACCATCATAAGTCAATCTTGTAATTTCTTGTACATTTGTACAGCTTGTGTTCATATCTATTCCTTGTATTATATCTGTATTGTATCTGTTTCACCTGTAGTAAAACCCTGCCTTATGTACCATCTTTTCCTGAATGGGAACGAATTAAGTTTGTGCACAGAAAGACCATCGTACTTACCCTGGGTCTGACAGGAGCATGCTAAGATTTCTTTTTGCCAATCAATTTGTAGGAGAAGGAACCCAGGAATGAGCTATATCTAAATCATCCCATAAAAGGAAGTAAAAAGAAGCCACGTGGCCAGACATCTTTCTAGCAGCCCTTTCTAATACTACCAGAAATGCTTCTGTTCCATTGAAATTTCAGGCACCTTAAACTCATGCACAAAGGAGCACTCACTCCCACTGCACAGAAGGGGATGTGTGGGGAGGGGCAGAATCCCTTCTCCCACGGGGCCAGTGCTGTCACCCCCGTGCTCCAGAGAGGAGGTCTGGCACTCACCTGATAGTGCACAAAGCGCATGTCCCGGGAGAACAGAGCTGCTGTCCACTGGCAGGAGTGGCTGGGGTGGATGGCTCTGGCCAGCTGCTCCAGCGTCCTCTGGTGGTGGGGGTAGAACTTGTGGGCCAGCGTCAGGTGCAGCTGCTTGGTGCATGGCTTCACGCTGCAGTCTGGGGGTCAGGAAAACACAGGGTGGTCAGCACGGGCCTCACACATGGTGCCTCACCTCCATCCACGGTGGCCTCTCTTCATGGTGCTTCCTGCACGGGCGAGGAAGGGCTCTCATTGGAACCTGGGTACCCTGGCTGCAGGATGCAGTCAGATACAGGGGAATTTTTGAGGGGAGGAAAGAGAGAAAGTCATAGAACTGTGGCTCAGGGCCTTCAAGGTCCTGTGGGTGAGCTGGTCAAACACTTGATGAAACACACAGTGCACAGCCTCCTCAAAAGTCTTAGGGTGTGCACAGGACTCAGCACCCCAAGAACCAGACTTTAGTTTGGTGGCTTTCTGTTCTGTGAGAGTACCTGGAAAAAACTCCCAACTATAATGTAGCCAGGCATGGTGGTACCTACCTAATTCTAGCACTCAAGAGGCTGAGGCTGGGGCATTGCCCAAGCTTAAGGCTGCCCTGGGCTACTGAGTGAATTCAAGGCCAGCCTGAATTGCATACAGACCCTATCCCCTACCCCACCCCCCAAAAAAAAGCACAGTGTCTCTGCTATATGAGAAACCTGGCTGAGCTGGCTGAGCTGGCTGAGGCCCAGGTCTTTGTGGATGGCCTCTGTCTTCCCTTGTCCTAGCCTCCTTGCAGGCTCTCAGGCCAGTGAATGGTGTGGCTGGTGTTACCAGAGCAACCCATTCCTGATGTCAGCCAGGCCAGACACAGTTTACATTCTGGGTGTCAGGGGAGCACAGCATAGCCCTTGCTCTTGGGGGAGCCAGGCTTCTGGCCCCTTCTGCCCTTTCTAGCCGGGTGGGTGTGGCCAGCTGTGGCTGCTTGCCTCTGCTTCAGGCTCAGGGACCAAGTAGCAGCGTGTCTCCCACTGGCTTCTGCAGGCTGGCGGGGCATGGGAGTAGCTGCCCACATGCTACACCATTTGCTTACGATTGAACACTCCTTCACTTCTAAATCTCCAGTAAGATGCAGGCTGCCCTTGTGAGCCCTGTGACCACCACACCTCGTCTTCTGTGGACTCTGCCATACTCACACAACCTAAGTGGATGGGTGCACAGCCTAGGCAGTGTGTTTGTGTGTGGGGGGGATCTGTTCCCAGGTCAACAGCACCCCTGGGAGGGTGGGCTTGGTCCAAGTCACCACACAAAGGAGAGACCCAGCCTACTTGCCAGGTGCAGCAGCACAAACCTGCAATCCCAACATGCTAATGGCTGAGGCAGGAGGGTCCCTGGGGCTTTGAAGTCAATCAGGGCCACATAATGAGATCCTGTCTCAACACCTCTGCTGAAAAGAAAGGGAGGCCTAGGCTGGCCATCATCGGAGAACATGGAGGAGTCACACTGGCTTCTGAAAGGACCCTGTGTCTTCACTCCGAGGCCTGAGACCCAGGGCCTGCCGCACTGGGATGCCAGGTGGATGGTGCCTCGTGCACTGGCCTGACAGGGGCTGTGGACACAGCCGAGCTGTGACTGGCTGCTAGCTCACCACCAGGGAGGACACCAGCCCCCTTGGGGTCAGGCTGAAGTGTGAGCTGGGAAAGCAGGGCAGAGCTCACATGAGGCCAGGGCTTGGTATAAGGTCACAGCCGCTGTCCTGGAAAGCTTAGCGGGAAGCCTAGGTGCTGCGAGGAAGCCGAGTGAGTGTACTTCCCGGCTTTAGCAGTTCTGGTTCTGCTGTGAAAAAATGCAGAAATACTTTCTTTTTCCACAGTTCTAGAGGCCAGAAGTCCAACTACAAATCGTTAGCAGGGTGCCCTCGGACGGCTGGGGGAGGGGCTGCCTTGACTCCCAGTTGAGGTGGCCCCAGCAGTGGGGCTGAATGACATCAGGCCACCATCTGCCCCTGCTGTTCTCGGCTTCCTTGTCTTCATCTCTGAGTCCTCTCCTCTCTTATGACACCCATCACTGGGTTTAGGGCCTGCACTCACCCAATGACTGCATCTTAGTTAAGTGCATCTGCAGGGAGACTGTTTCCAACAAGGTCTCTTCTGAGGTTCCTAGTGGATACAACTCATCAGGGGATTCCACTGAACCCAGCACAGTGACTTTGGCAGGGACTTTAGTCCCTGTGCTTCAGTCTTCTTGTTTTAAGGTGAGGCTCATGAGTCCTACCTGAGGATATGAAAAGTAGTGAAAGCCTGGGGCTTTCTGGCCCCTGGGCAAGAGTCATGCTGGGTGTTAGGCAGGCCCTGGCCGAGGATCACCTTCAGCTACCATCTTTTTTCATTTCCAATCTGAGTTCCTCTATACTTTTCTGCAGCTGTTTCTTTATTTCAGAAGCCGTTGATTCATTGATTTCAGTTGTGTGATTCCCACTTTGTTCTGTGTTAGTGTCCTCTGCACTTGTTATGGGTGGACTTGGGTTCTGAGATTGCATTTTGTTCCTTCTCGTCATTTTGTGTAGCACTGTCTTCTGACCTTTGTTGTAGAGCTTTGGTGCAGTTATAACTTTAGCACCTACTGAAGTTCAGGTGTAGATCTACAAAGTTTGGATTTATCCAGCTGTGCCTGGCTTGGGTCTGGCTGCTGTGCTCAGCTCCTTCCTGCTGCTGCCCTTGGGGGTGAACCTGTTGTGCCCCTCTGGCAAGATGTTCTGCTCCTGGACTAGCTGGGTGGTTCTGTCCCCTACACTCTCTGCAGGTATTGCAGCTGCAGGGTTTCACCCCAGGCCTGTATGCTAGGCCTGAGCTGAGTCTGGAGGGGACAAGGTGGAGTAGCGGGGAGAGGGGAAGCTGTCCCACACACTCACTGGGCCTGGTCTAGGACTGAATCTGGGGGTTCCCAGAATGCAACAGAAATTCCTACTCGGTGGGCAGGGTGGGGGGTAGTACGGAGTGGTAGGGGGCGTCCCAAGGGGGTGAAAGAGGGTCTCACCCACACTGCGCCTGGGCTGGGACCGGTAGGTCCCACCGGTGCAGGGTAGCCGGAAGCTCTCCCACACACTCACCGGGCCTGGGCTAGGACTGGATCTAGGGGTTCCAGAATGCGGCAGAAATTCCTACTCAGCGGGCAGGGTGGGCGAGGTGCTGCGGATTGGTTGGGGGCGTCCCAAAGGGGTTGAAGAAGGTCTCACTCCCGCTGTGCCTAGGCTGGGACCGGTAGGTCCTGCCAGCACAGGGTAGCCGGAAGCTCAGCTACCATCTTGTGGGCTGCTTACCTGCCAAGATTGCTGCCTCGGTGGCGAACGCCATGGCAAATTCCCGGATGACATCTGCGGGGCCGTCGTTAATGAAGAAGCCAAGGTAGCTGATGGAGGAATGGAGCACCAGGGGAATGGTGGCCGGGAAGGATGCCAGGACCCTGTCCCCTGCCCTCTTCAGAGCCTCGTACAGGCATTCCACCTTCTGGTCTTCACACTGAGGGAGGAGAGAGAGCAAGCGCCTTCCTCGCCTCATGTTCCAGAGAACCTGCTCGAATGTCTGCAGAATCACGGGCAATAGGTGCCAGGCACTGCTCTGACCCTGTGCACCCAGTTTGTCCAATGATACCACTTAGGACAGTGATGGCACACTGCTTCCTCCCTTGCTTTCAACACACTCATCAACCTCTGGCCACTTCCTGAAGCAGCTCTGCAGTCCTCTTTCCTGAGGGCCTTCATGAGGTGTGATGAAAGACACAGGGACTGCCTCTGCTGAGTGCCATCCAAGGCAGCTTGTAAAACTGCAAAGCTGCATCCTTATCCAGATCTGGTAGTGTGTGACTGCCGACTCCTCCCCAAAGGCAAAATAACCGTGCAAGAGAAATGACCTGATTCCACTGAGGACACTGAGGTAGCCAGCATAGCTCAACTAAAGACACTCAGGAAAGAGGACTCCAGAGCTGCTGCAGGAAGTGGCGAGGATGGTGGGACTGGTGTGTATGTGATACCAAGGGGAGGACTCTGAGCGGAGTCATGGCACTATGTCTTTTCCTGTGATAAATTTCTGAAACTCATAGAATCCCTGTATTTCTTATTGTACCATGTGACCCACTCAGTTTGTACCTGGGATCTGCCCTAAATCTGATGCTGGTTTTCTAGCTCTTTTAGGTAAAACTCTTTTCTTATGGGATCACCTTCAAGTGCCCAGGTTGGGAGTCCCTTGTGGCTCTGTCCCTTCCCCAAGTCCAGCTGGCCTGGTCCTGCTTTCTCAGACTTACCCTCAGCCTCACGCCCCACCCTCAGCCTCACCTCCCAGCCTGGCCTTTTCTCTTGCCCTTGGGTGCTCAGCTTTGCTTGGGTTGCAGCTGTCTTTGCTTTTTTTTTTTTTTTTTTTTTTTTTTTGAGACACGGTCTCTCGAGGTAGCCCAAGCTGGTCTTGAACTCACTATGGAGAGCAGGCAACTGAACTTGCAGTGCCTGAGCCTTCTGAGTTCAGGGCTTTAGGTGTGTGGCACTGCTTTTGTCCCTTCTTCTCTGGCACAGGGAGGTACAAGGGCTGTCTGTCTGTCCACATCTTCCTGCCACCTCCTTTTCTGTCAAGCAGCCCAGGTCTAACTTTCTAGCCCACTGAGATGCTCCTATTCAAATGTCTTCTACATAAAGTGGTGGCCCTGGGAGAGGGATAGGACCTGTGTCTGTGACCATCCCTCGGCTACCTGTTCTTCAGCTGATGTGTCACATGGTGAGGAAGTTCCTACTCTAAGGACCATGTGGCCTCTGGGGAATAAGGACAAGGAGTATATCTGCAGTCCCTAACTGACTCAGGCTGCACCTTCACAGGACAGGAAATGTCCCTGGGGACAGACAGAGAGCGGATACTGTACCAGACACCACCTTCTCTGGAGATGGGAATAAAAAGAGAGGGAATAAATGAGTGTGGTCCTTCAGGGAGAAAAGGAGTTGACCAACTGCAGGACAGGTTTGTGTACACAAGAGAACCACTGATACTGCAGACCTGGCCCACCCCATTGTGACAAGCCAGTTGTGGCCTGTCACGGCCTCACTATTCCGTGCTGTTGGCTGCCTGTTCGCCAACTCACCGTGAAGAAGTCGCAGAGGGTCACATGTGGGAAGACCTCGTGGGCCCTGTTCTTGGCACACTGCTGCTTGCTCTTGCTCCAGAACTGCTGAAGCTTCTCAAGCAGTGGCCCAGAGGGACAGAGGAAGAGGCCGAACTCCTGGGGGATGGGGTCGTCAAGGGACGGGTCACTGCAGTGGCAGTGCAGCCTGCAACAGAGAATGGGCCACCTTCACCTGGCACTGCCCCCAAGGCGGTCCTCGAGGACACAAACCCGTGGGAGCAACATCACCATCATCCTGTCCCTGGGCTGAGCCTGTGCTGCAGCTGAATCCGAGAGAGCAAAGCAAAGTGGCAGGATGACCCTGACCCGGGATTCTGGTGGCCTCTGTGAGGTCCTGGTGACACTGCGGCCGTGTTAGCAAGTTTTATGGAAAACAATTCACATTTTTGTTCTATGACAAACTTCAAATTACATGTTGAAAATCAGGAAAAGAAAAAGTAGGTGCATTGGGTGACTATTATATTTTCTTTCAATTCAAATTTACTTCAGATAGAAGCAAAATGATGTATAATGCAAGTCTCTTTTAATAATAAATATAGAAATGAAAACAGCCATGAGAGATCATTTTTCCTATTAATTAAATTAATGAAGAAGATTTTCCCAAGGAATAAAAATGCCAGGGTGTCAAAGGTACAGCAAGACTGAAAGATGCTGTGAGCCTCCATAGAACACAATTTACCGATGTGTCAAGCATCTTAAAATACCCTGGCCTTTCAGCTAATAGTCTTCTTGGGAATGTCTCCCTGGCAGAAAAAGAAGAGTGTAAGAAAGGTTCACACCTGAGATATGTATCGTATGGCTATTTATAATGGAAAGTATAAAAAGATACTTAAATGACAGGAAATCTACTTATCATGTATTAAAAATAGTGATTTTAAGAATTTTCCAGTGATGCAGAGAGATGCTTATGGCTTGATTGATATTAGGGTAGAAAGTTCTGTGTGGACACACAGGCCTTGTTGATTATGCTCAATTCATTCCCTTTCATAAGGTAAGCATGCTGTGATCAGTAACTATGGTGAATGTTTGCATTTTAAAAATTTATAATAAAACACATATTGTCATTTAGCCTCCTCAAAATCCTCTTCCTATACGGCTGCATTCTCTTAATTCAATGAATAGAAAGATTTGTTCTAATAGTGTTTGTGGACAGGATATCATGTCCTCATCTTGTACAATGAATAACCACTAAGACAACAATATGCAATGCATTAATTATTGAAACTGTGCTAGTAATTGGTCATGAAACTGTCTCATTGCTATTTGTTTCTCAATAAAATTATTATTATTATTATTATTATTTTGCGGAACCGGGGATTGAACTCAGGCCCTTGCGCTTGCCAGAGAAGCACTTATTCCACTGAGCCATCTCCCTGGCCCTGTAATAAAATTATTTTTTTTTTTTAAAAATCCTCCTCCTTACCTCGAATGCACTCATCCCATTTCGCCTGCCACTTCTCGCAGCAGCTCTGAGTCCTCTTTCCTGAGAGTCTTTGGTTGCACTGTCCTGGCTGCCTGCATGTCCTGAATCAATCCTAAGCATTACCTTTTCTTGGTTATTTTGACTCTGGGGAGAAGCGGAGGCCGCACTATCCCAGATCCAGCAGCTGACGTGGGTGAGGACACAGCATCATGTTTTCATGAGCTACCTTTCTGTTGGGTGGTGCTCAGCCACAGCAGTCACTGTATTTTTGATGACACCTCATAAAGACACTCAGGAAAGAGGACCCCCAAGCTGCTTCAGAACCATGGAAGGCAGAGGGAATGTTTTGAGGGAGATCCACGGCAAGATGCTTTTTACTGTAATAATTATTTTGAATTGAAACATTCACTGTATATTTCGGTCACATTTTGTGTAGAGGCAGCCATGCCCCTTCACACCTTGAGTTCATTCTTATCCCTTTCCAGAGTTAATCTCAATGAAGAATTAGCTTTGTTTTCTAATAGAAATTTAAGTAACAGATCTGTAGACAGCACAGTGAGTGTTTTATGTAAATCAGAGCTGCTGTTCAAATTGTTCTGCAACCTGTATTTTCTGCTGCAAGTCAAACATGCCAATAGGAGGACATGCAGTGTGTTTGCAGGCGTGGATGGTCAGAGGCGGAGTCATGGCCCGTCATACACACATGCAATACTGCGTTTGTCCGCTCTGTGTTCATTAGCATGCAAATTTCTTTCCTCTTTTTAAACCTTCTCAATGCTAAGGTGAATGAAGGTAGGAGACAGGAAAAGGAGTGTTGCGGGACTGTCCTGCTACAATGTTGTATATGGTTAGATTTCTGGACTTATGTATAAACATATATATAATTCTTTATTCCTATTTTTAAAATATACTTTAATTTTTTACATTTTGTTTCATTATATTCTGTAGGGACTTAAAGTTTAACATATCAATACTTGATGAAAAATACCTGTTCCATGTTATGCCTAAGATGTTTGATATTCAGACAGATAGCAAGGTTGTACTCAACAGCCTAGGTTGTATGGTAATAACAATAAGCTTCTCTGCTGGAGGGTTAGCAGCCTAAGTTTGCAGACCAAAATTAGAGAAAAAGGAGGGCTGCAAAGAAAGCCAACATTTTGGCCCTAGCCTTCCAAGGTCAATTAAGACTCAGGGCATATGAGAACTTGTACTGTAACATCATGTAACTCAGTTGTGTCCCAAATTTTCTGATCAAGGAGATTATGAGGCCAAAGAGGAAAGTGATCGATGATGTAGAGTGTGCCTAAGGAGAGTC